GTGGATATGGAGGATGGGCGCCGAGGCGAACGAGCGAGAATGTCTGTGGAGGGTCATGCGACCAAGACAGAGATGTGGGAAACTGAAAAAGCTGCTGGAGGTAAACGAACCGAGTGCCACCTGCAAGACCAGTGCTACAAAATGAAAACAAGAAACCTGGTATCCGGCCCAAAGCTGCCAGGTTTTGGTGGCGGTGATGGAGGGGTCCTGACGCATATCGGGTGTGGAAAAGTATCGCGTAGACCACGAGTCGACCCAACGGGGGCGCGGTTTCTGTGCGGTTGGTGGGGCCTCGTCGTCCTTGGACTCGAGATTAGGGGCCGCTTCAGCGCAAAAACGGCGACCTTTCTCCGGCTGTTGGCCAAGACCCGGGCTCAAGGCGCTCCGCAACAACTTGGGGCCTCGGCAGTCGCAGCTTACATAGCCCGCTGGTCAGCCCTCCTCTCCGCGGCCGCCAGTCGCACCTTCGCAGTCAGCCTTTTGTTCGAAGACTTCGCCAACCACTCCAACATCGATACCAGCCTCCCTGAGCTCAGCGACCTGCTCCCCCAATGCCCAGAGCCCCCAGCCCATTCAAGACTCCCGAGCCACTGACCCCCCCCTCCTGGGACTTTGGACTTTGGACTTTGCACACCTGGGGACAGGCCAGTATAAAAACTGTCAAAGCATCCCCGTGCGAATAACCACTCCAAAATGTAGGGCCTTGAGGCCCTATATCAGGGGTCATTTTGTAGTGCCCATGCCTGAAATCCTAGGGCCCAACTCACTGTGTGACTGATGTAATATGAGGTTGAGACCACTCATTTTGTAAGGATTTGTAAGTAAGAATCTGGGAGAGTGGGCCCATGAGGGGAATACAAAAAGATGTTGAGGCCGCTAGTTTGTAGCGATATCATCCTGGAGCAGGACTACAGAATGATCCAGGCTATTTGATTGTGTAGTAGAAGGCAATTGTTCTTGGACAGGAATTGCATTTTGTGGTCTGTGAGCAATTTAGGGATTGGAATAGCACGTTACAACATGACCTATTATGAGCCCCACTGTATGGACAAGCATGTCATTTTGTAATCTGTGAGCCATTGAGGTTGAGGTTGAGTCCATTCATTTTGTAGTGAGCATATTTTCCAGAGCTCGTTGAAGCCCTGTACACAATGATGTCAAGTAATTCATTTTGTAATGACCAAACTAACATTTTGTATGTCGGACAGGCCTTTCTGTAGGAAAAAATGTGTTACCCCCTGAATTCGTACGGGGATGTGAAAGCAGCCACCCGATCGAACTCACACAGAAAAAGGCGCAAGGAAAAAAAATAAAAAAAGGAAATGTTGGGTCGAAATTGGTGTCAAAAAGGGCTTTTTGGGAGCCATGTGCAGCCCGCATTTCTAGCATCATAACTCTGCCACCCTGAAACCTAAAAGTGGCAGCTCCCAACTTCCTGACTGCTGAGCTATGTGATCCAAGCCGAGAAGGTTCGGACGACTCACCCGCTCAATTGCTTGACGCCCGCGCCCCGGCACCCTCCGTGGCCTCGTGCTTCCAGTGTGAACTCCTGGCGCCGCAGGCGCGCCCTGTGTGGAGCGCTCCGCCAGTTCAGGGAGATGGAGTTTGCGAACGTGACTTCTCAGGATTGTAGGTGGGTTAGTTAGCAGGATGGGCGGAGGTTACACGAGCGCTAACATTGCACGGTTCCAAACTAGAAAAATCGCGGCCTACCGGAAGAGGGGCCCTCTTCGATGGAGGCCTAGCTGGGACGGGAAAAAGTACCAGTGCAAAAGAACAAAACCACTGTAAAACCGTCACGCCAGTTGTGCAGCGTTATACGGCACTGACGCACAAAACGGCCTCCGGGAACAGGGGTGGTGTCACACTCCACTGATAGGGTGGTTTTCCTCATGAAAGCCGGGCATTCCATTCTACGACATCTATTCGGTCTGATGGACAGCTAGTGCACTATAGACTTGTTACATTCGCAACGTTTTGCTTTTCACCCTCAGGTTCATGCCGGGACTTTGGCAGACAGCTTGGCCAACTTACACCCACGCAGATCCGCACATGGACAGCCTTATTTCACTTCTTGCATTCGTTTGACTGCTGCTCTTCACCTTTGTGCAGCCACCTGTGCTGCGTCTTGTGCGTTGCCTGACCGCGCGCGCAAAATGTGCCCTGGCTTCCTTCGCCTGCGTTTTGCCGACACACCTGCTTCCTCGGAGGCTGCGACGCAGCTGCTTCTACATTTCGTGCCTGTGCTCATTTTTTTCCATCCATGGGGCATTCCTGTCACTCTCACTCCTGTTCGGTCCGTGTTTCTTCACCATTACTTTACGCCAGGGATTTGATTACCGCGGCTACTCTGTATGGTTACATTGATCATATTTGCCCAGCGGTGGCGCTTGCGGTCTTCAGGGTAGGCAATAATCCGTTTTGAGGGTAGGCAAAAATAGAAAAACGCGTTGGGGTTGTATAGCCGCGTGTGGCTGCCATGGACGCATGGCTGAATCAACTAAAGAAACCAAGTCTGCACCAAGGTCTTGCAAATATTGACGGTTGTAGCAAACCATCGGGACTGTGCGACACTGCTGAAACTCGACGCCAGTCCATACTAGGGGGCTCACTGCATTCCCCGCTTACAACCCGATTTTTTTAGCAACTGCCGATTTTTCACCATCGACGGGTGGAACACGTATGTATTGGTCTAGCCACTGCAGAGCCAGAATTAAAGTTCTTGGAACATAATAGCCGGTTTTTCGCGGGTGTCGGTCACTTCGATCGTGTGGTGGCCCCGCGGGAATGCAGTATGCCTTGGTCAAATTTCGCACGTTTGTTAATTTTTCGTTTCGTCCTTTGTCCTTGTACGCCCGGCATGTTGCTTACTGTTGGCGCGTCGTCATCACTGGGTTGTTCTTTCGTTTGTAGCCTGTGTGGCTGAAGTGAAAACATTCCTGAATCTGGTCAGGTTTGTCCTCAAGGCATACTGGTTTTTCAGATGGCTTTGCATCTCCCAAACTGGTTTGCATGGGCTTTGGGCTGGCCACATGCCAGCATGATCGCCAGGATGTCATTGAACTATATATTTAAATCGCAAACCGTCCAGGCCGAGCACTTTGCCCACCAAAGCACCACACTGTCCCTGTGCATCGTTTGCCATTCAATTCAAGGTGGTAGGCCCGTGGCATTGGACGCATGGCATCCTTTCATCCACCATGCAGTATGCATCATGGCCCATGAGTACATATCGTGTGTTTGCATGCATGCACCTTACGCGCGCTGCGGAGGACTTCCGGTCGAAGTGTTCATGGAGCGCTGTCTCAATCGCTCACCACTGCCGGTGGATCTTTCAGTGCTTTGGCTTGGTGATGCTTGGTGGTTTCTTCTGGGTCATTTTGTTCCAACACCTTTTGAGTGCCCTTGGTGTGCCGAACCTTTTCAGCCGGGCACGTTGGATCCCCGGAAAACTGTTTGTTGGCATCGACTGGTGTACAGGGCCATCTAGGTTAGGTGCCTCGCTGGTTTCCTTTTTCGTGCTCCTGGACGGTGATGTTTTGGGAGCGCGGGAACCACTGTACCGAAGCAGAACCACTGTTTAGCTTCACAGGTTGCAAACAGGAGATAACAGGAAATTGATTTGACTGACTACCGGGTTGGTTCTGCACTTTTTCACCTCACAAGTGATTGGGGGTAGCTGAAATGAGGAACGCGTCTGATCGTAACCGCGCTCTTCCGCTTCCGGCGCCCCATTTGAGTGGAAGTGCGGCTGCCGACCCCCAAGCTGTGGCTAGGGTTGCTGAAGGAGGAGCACGTAGTTCACAAAAATCGTCAAGAGGTTAAGGTCCACCAGGACGATCAAGGGGAAGATCTCTCTTTCCCTTTGGCAGCCAAAGTCTTTTTGCAAGTCCCATGTTGCTCGTTCGGCCTTGTGGCAGTTGCAGTCTGGAGCACTGCGGCGATCGGCATTTACGCAGATTCTCAACTCTTCGGGCTTAGCGAGGTGCACAGAAAGCGGCTTTGGAGCAGAGCACGGCTGGTTGGGCCGCGGCGCTGCACATGAAAGCTGGAGCTGCACCCCTCCACCTCGAGGACCAGACCCCCAGGCCCAGCATCTCTCAACAAACTTGCGCGAAGTGGCGCCAGTTCGCTCAGCAGCAACAGTGCAAGAGGATCAGGATCTTGATCGCAAGACAAAGATGGAACAAGGCAGTGCCAAGATGTTACATGAAGAAGGGGAAACAAACATAAACAACAACGAGAAGACATCGAGGCCTTTTTAGATCGTACGGAGTTGGGCTCCAGAAACGAGTTGTACCCTATTTCGCGCAGCAAAGCGGCAACCCTTCGGACTTCCCAAACTTTGGTCAAGACTCTGCAGGCCAACTAAGCCTGGCTTCCAACATCTCAGCTTGAAAGTGGCTAGAATGATAGAACCTAAACATTGAACATACCCTGCCAGTGGTCCAGAGAAAAACGAAACGGATGCTGTACAATTTTTAGAGGAACAAAAACATGCGACTCCGTGGGCGCAGGCCAGTTCACCGGACGTCCTGATACGAGGAACACGCCAGTTTCTTCGACAAAGTCGGCAGATTCGCAAGAATGGTGGAACTCGTGCAGGCGTCACGTCCAGCACGTTTTTGATGGTTTGCAATGTTGATCGGGTCAAAGGATCTGGTGAAAATCGTTGCAACTGGCCGTGGGTATGCGGGGTTTGTGTACACCCCGCCGAGTACCCCGCCGCTCCGCACCTTTTGTATCCTTTTGTTTAATTTCAATGCTCTCATCATGTGAACCAGTTCCGCCATTTCCAGTTGGACTGTGCAGCCTCCGAGGCCACGAAGGGCTCAAGATACCCTGGCTTCGCACCACTTTCAATGGTGATTTACATGCAAGTTTTAAAACGCATGCATTCCGATGCATTCGGCACAAGTAGGCAGAAAGAAGGGTTTCCAAAAACATCATTGCACAGACGTGGTGGGTTTTCTATTCAGCATCCTACTCGCTGCGTTGCCATGGTTTGAGCCTTAAATATTCCACAGTGGTATTGCAGGATATGTCTGGCGTCCTGCTGAAATGAGGTGAAACGAGCCGTGTGCGTTGGCTGCAATTACCCCAGCAAACCCTATGGTTTGGCTGGGTCTGTGTTGCCGGCTGGTCAGAAACTGTTTTGTTTGGAGCGGGGGCGTCAGCAACACGAAAGATGGATAGACATTGGTTGGCCAGGTGAATGATGCTTTTCTGATCGCCGAATACTTGGAAGAACAGTTCAACTTTCCCAAAGAGAACGTGCTGGGCTAAGCTCAGTTTGGTTAGTTGCGAAGCTTGAAACTAGAGTTTTGCCAGGATTGCCACATGAGAAACTGTTGCCGTTGCCAGCGTGCTAGATTGTGCTGCTCCACGACACCCACCCGGGGAGGAGGAAGAATGTGCAGGCTCATCGACCAAGAAACCGGCTCGAGTTTCATTCACGACAGTCGGCTGATTGAAGGTTATGGTTTTTTCCTCCCACTATTCTTGCATAGTCTTGGGATGTCTTGGGGAGGCGGTTTGTGACAAGTGGTCGTATTTTCAATGAAGATCCCATGAGTCATCGTGCATGCGCCAGGTCGACGAAGCGAAGCGCCCGACACGTGTCAATATTTTGCAGGCGCTTCAATGGCTTGTGAGGACTGGGAGTTCACGACATTCCCAGGGCCAAAACGAAGGGACATGCAAGACAATAGAGCAGCGCCCTGCAGGATACAATCAAGGGCTGTCTCAACATGCAGACCCTAAAGAAAATCATGTACAGTTAAGATAGGTGAAGTAGCCGATGTTTTGCGGAGCTTTGGGCGGTGATTCGATCTTGACCAGGAGCACAAAACCCGGTACCTTGGCTCCATATGGCTGCAGCTTGCCGATGCTGAACTCGAGTGGAGGGCAGAAATACTTTTGCTTGAGATATCTTGAGATGGGCTCATTTCGAGTCAGTTTATGATGTCATACTGATGCGATTGTAGAGATTCCAACAAGCCTTCCCAATCTGTATATTGTTGTCGTTTTTCCCTCCCGACTCTGGTTGATGCTGCAAACATCCACCCAGGTGACGTATGTTTCTTCTCGTTTTCCGGCTATGGACTCCAGGCTGGTGAGACTTGTGTCGGTTGTGCCAATAGATTGCAGCAGCCAGGTTGATGATGTGGACCACCTGCCCGACGATGGCCTGGACGAAGCAATTCTGCCCAGGACCTATGAGACATATATGACATAGGTACTCTCACAGTGCCTCATTGTATTCGTAAGAAACCCCAGTTCTACTAAGGCCAACCGATTACCAAGACGGGCCAGGCAATGACATCACGGTCATCGTCAGGTTCCCAGGTTTTGTGGCGGTCCAAAGTTTGGCAGAGCTGACGTGCAGCCAGTTTCTTAGATTTGTGCTCAATATCTGAGATGATTGATCTGAGGTTGGCACTGAGATTCATGACTTGTTGGGTGGCGTTCCACACCATGCTTCTGTGACCATTGTGATGGACAGCGGGGGGAGGCTGAGGATGGGGTGCATTTGTACATATGCAAACACACACACACACACATATATATATATATATTGTATTATAATCTGTCAGTTGTGACTAGAGTTCCTTCATTGTGTTCCCTCTCTCTCTCTCTCTCTGTCTCTCTGTCTCTCTCTCTCTCTCTGTCTCTTTTTCTCTCGCTCTATCCCATTTGGATTTCTTCTTCCACGACATGTCCTTCTTCTCACTCAAGTGACTCCAGTATTTTGCATCTCGCTTGGTTCTCACGCGTGGTGAAGACAGATCATCAGGTCGCCAAGATAAGTACGTGTGCGCAGGACTGCGACCACGCGACTTCAATCACAGATGTGTGAGGGGCTTGGTCGCATTGACACGACTCGTCACTGGAAGGGCTCGATCAACGCTCAGAGAGAAGACCCTTGTACCTTCCGAGCCAATGACCCTCCCAAATGCAGCACTTCGAAGCGTCGGACAGCACCGCAGTATTTGTCTGCCGCACTGAATGGTTCAGGTCTGGTACTCTGAATGGAGAACTCATTGCCGGTCTGAAGGCCTCAACCTATTGCTGCATGCTCAGGTTTGAAGTGCTCACTCGCGTAGGCAGACCTGTAAGGGATGTTTCATCCTTTCATCAAGCCAGCGCTAGGAACATGACATGACAGTGCATGAAGGAGCTTTGGGGAGTGTAGACCAACATTCGCTGGGCAAAGACGGACCCTTGTGTTGCGAGTGTATGCTAGTGCAACAACAAGATATACACCCGGGAAGATTAACATAGAACCTGAAAACCACTGGGTTATAGATCAAAGTAGTCTTCCAAAATCTTCCAAAGGTCCATTTTCAGGTTCCATGTTAATCTTCCCAGGTGTAATACTGCATGGTATTTGAAGCTACTGCACCGGCTCCATGAAGCTCAAAAAATTCTGTTCCAACCCCCGTGCGCCGCCTCCATCGTTTGGGCCGCTCTGCCGACAGAATCGGTTTTGGTGCTCAGGTGGGATGAAGGCGCGGTTGGCCAACCCGAGCAGCGTCACAAAACTTGGATGCTGACCTTTTAGTTTCAGAAGTCCACTTTGATGTTACCAGGTGAGTCACACAGAGAGAGTGGAGTGGGGGCCTTGAGGATCCAGCACAGCAGAAGGAAGCTGATGAGAAGTTTAGCGGACGCAAGAGTTCAGACAGAGAGCTTGTGGATGCTTGCGGGGCATGAGAGTCAGGCAATGGATGGTCAGGGTTCATGTCGGACTTCAAGATGGTTCTTTTGGGGGTGGGGCGGTTTTACCAAATTCTTCGACTTTGACATCTCATCAACCCAACCTCTGGGTTGCTTTCCAACGCAGTTGTGTAAGCCGAAGCTGAGGCTTTCGACCCACAAACGAGAAATCTGGCTGGATGAAAGCTCCAGACAGGCAAGTTCTGCGCAATTCCGCATGCGGTCTTTGTTAGGTAATTACAGGGTTGAGCTGCTCTCGGCCCAGCTGTCACCCTGGGATCAGAAAAGGAAGCATCCTCCTTGTGTGGATGTCACTTAGAACATATCCGGCTGACCATCAATGAGACTTCTGTTTTCGTTTCGGTGAATGGATATGAAGGACTTCAGGGAAGTCGATGCCGCCTTCCCATCGCCCTCGCGTTTCGATCGTCGAACGACGGCTGTGCTTGACCCGAATTGTGGGTCGACGCACTCAGCTGATGTTGGAGGATTGAAACAGGCCCATCAGCTGAGACCGTTCAAAAACCCTCGATGGATTCGACCAAAGACATCCCATGTCGGGATCTCAGGAGTATTCATTGGGTCTCATGGGATTTGTTTTGCACACTCGCACCACTGGAAGAAAGAATTCATCCTGCGGGGGGGCACATGCAGACAACTAGCCGCTAACTAGCCTTTGCCGGAAGAAATTCTACACATTTGCGTTTCTAAACACATGTTATCACATGTTTGGCCGTAAGCTCCAAGCCACTCGGATTCCAAGCCGGGTGTTCTTTCGAAGGCCGGGGTTCGGCCGTTCGCCCTCCAGGTGAAGGCACGTCCTCGGTTCCAACCGACCATGGAAGTGCAGAATCCCACAAGAGGACGCTTCCCAACGCGCCCAGTGCGGCCGCACAGAGAACACACCTCTCACGATCGTCCCCGATTTGGTTTTTGGAAGACTGGGAGGATCTGAATCTGGCTGGTCTTGTGGAAGACTGCTTTAATGATACTAAAATATACTATATAATACTATAAGTGTAAGCCTTGTGGATTGTCACGTCGCCTCTGAATATTAAAAGTTTCTGACTTGCAAACGGACCCACGATGTTCATAGAAGGGACTCCATTAGGCGTTCATTCCGTCCCATGTCCATTGCCATCCACTACTTTTGCTCCTGCACATCTTCTTTTCGAAGCGGCTGAGGCTATGTCTCGTGCAAACCCGGTGGCATTTTGCTTCTCAGTCACGGCGCACAGAATTCGGGTTTCGCGTGCGGGTCCATGTCTACGCTTCGAAGCAACAAGAGGAGGGACCACCTGAAAGCAGGTGTGATTCGCTCCACCCAAATACAGGGTTTCGCACAAAGCCCTACGTGTCTTTTAGATCCTATGAGCCACCTTTTGAGGATTGTGCTATCCTCTCCATCCACTAATTATAAGAATTGGTTCAAATTGTTGAATCTAGGCTGCCAGGCAGTGGGCAATGCTCTCGACGTTGCCACCGGGTCAAGATGTATTGCACGAAAGATGTGAACTGGCACCCTAGGTCTTGACGCCATCAATGCCATGAGTAGAATCAGTAGAATTCATGTCTTTTCCTTGTCAAAAATTGGAAGAGCCCCAAGAACTCACTGCGACTAAGTCCTGGATGCCATTGTTCTTGACCGGTGCAATCCTTTGTCAAAGGTGCTTGGAGCTTCACACTCACACACATACCCCGCACACGCGCATGCTCTGGATACATGGCCTCCTGGTGTTTTAAATGCTCCGATTCACCATGATTCACCCAAACTAAGGCGGCCGCTTTTGGGCAGACAGCTATCGAGTTGCAGGTGCGGAGGATGCAGCCTTGTGTTTGGTTATACTCGTCCCAGTACTCGTCCCTATCTGGCACTTTTGAGGGGGATCAGTCGACAAGCGTGAAACCTCCTTTGTGAGCAGAAACAGTAAAGTAAAACATGCGCAGCGAAGTTTCGCAGTAACTGCCCAGTCCTCCCGCTCTGTGGCATGAGGTTACGGCGTCAGAGGCTACCTGGAGCATCTGAGCTCAAGTGTGACGGCAGGGGACTCCCCTAAATTAGAAGACCCCCAGAGCATCCTAGAGCTGTTTTGGCTTGCTGATATGCTCATGATACGCTCATGATGCTGATATTCGCAGAAAGCAGCGGCTTGGACTGGGTTCCAATCTCAAAGGCACGTCCAGTGATGTTCTTGCCTGGGCAACCACCAGCAGGTTGGTAAACCTTGAGCATTCAGGTCATGTGAGCCTGAGGGGCTTCCAGGGCCCATGAGAACAAGTTGCTCAAAGAGACTCAAATTATCTGAAGTTCTCAACGCAGGACCTTGAATGCCCTCTATGACTCTATGTCCTTTAGATATCTCCAGATCACCAATTGATTGCCTTTGTATGCAGGTTCTGAGCTATGAATGCTGTCGAAATGCGGTTGTTGCCCCAAGGTGCAGGCGAAGAGAAGAAGCAGTCTGTCGCTCAGGTTTGCCCGAGGTGACCCAGCAGATTGCCCCCCCAAATGCTGGCAGCTTGCAAAAAGAATGCTTTTGGGGGGACCATTTGGCCATATTTTTGGCCAAATCTGTGGGTGAGCTCACTAGGTCGCCACCCGAGGCACGGAGTTCTCTCCTGGTGCTTCATCGAGGCCTTGAAAGAGCTCAGGTAGGGGAGCCAGCGTGAGCCGCGGACGTGCTATACACACGAGCGCTGGGAACCAGAAGACCTGCCCAAATTCGCAGCGCTGGCAGTGCTGGGGTTGGATATTTGTTGGATTTTTGTCAGCTCTGATCGTAGGAATCGTCGGATCATGATGATCATGTAGCATGAGTGATAGGATGGTTCGTGTGGGCCAGGGTGCGACGATGGTTCATGCTGGAATGTTTCTTGTAAGTGGTCCGCATTTTGGTCCTGTGTGTGGGGCTGCTGGATATCGTGCCAGGAACAACTGCACCTACCTTGAGCTTTTGAAGGGAATCCAGAGGCTCTTCCGTGCACGGCAGATCGCAGCTGCCGAAGTGAGCTAGATCACCTGGGCTTGAAGGGCAACACACTTCGAAGATGTTCAGCTTCTCCAACTGAGATCCTCCATGTCGCTATGGAGCTGGGAGCTCGTGCCAGGCAGTTGGCAAAGATGAGAGAGGAAGTCCCAAAGCTGGACCAAGAGGCGGATCAAAGCGCTCGATACGTGGATGGATCGGTCGGCGGCGCTTGGAGGTTTACATGCGTGCAGGACATGGAATTTGATGGACGTGTTGGTGGCCTCATGTTGCCTCCCGGTTTTTAGTTTGCAGGAGTCTGGAGCGCCACGAACTGCACGAACTCGTCTTGTTGTTTCTTGGAGGTGCCTCGTCCCATTGCGGGAGCACTCTGCTACTGGTTTTCTCCTCTGGCGAACCTCGTCAGTGCCCCTCCCTTTCGGAGCCACCTCCGGCCGGCCGGACCGGCCGGTTTCCGACGGTCCGAGACGCTGCTGACCTTCACACCGCCGCTCTCGGAGCCCACGAAGATGAGGGTCTTGCAACCGATGCAGGCGATCAGCTTCTGAGCTCATCGAACTGAACTCATAGACGGTTGGTGTATGTTGGTGTGAGGTGAGTCGTGACTAATTAGGTGAGTCGTGGCAGGTGAGGTGGAGGAAAGAGGTGGATTTGGTTGGAGGATCTTGAAGTGATTTGTGTGTGATCAGATGATTGGTTGTTTTTGAGTTGCTTAGTCTTGTATATAAGTGATAGCACCTGATATCGATAGCTATTTGGCCACTTGTTTCTGTGGGTGGGGATCTTGGGACCTCAGGATGACTGGCCGGCCATCGTCCCTTTGATGTCTATCCCCTCGGTCAGGTGAAGCCTCCTGCCCGTCCGTGCTTCCTGCCAGCTTTTTTGCGAAGCTGAAGCTGAAGATCAGAGCAGCGTAGCTGATGTAGCTGTGCGTAGCTGATGTAGCTTGCCATTCAGACCAGTTGATGGAGATGGAAGGGCCTTACGCTTTGATTCCTCAGGGAACCGAGGCACCGTTTATGTGCACCTTGGCTGAACACGGAACAATATCGAACAAATTCGAAGACGGAACCTATGGCGATCTATGGCGCATTCCCCTTAGAACAGGACGAGACACCTGCCCTTTGGTCAGACAAACTGAGACCCCTTGATCATCTTTGATCCAGATTTCATGCACAAGTGAGGGACAAACAAACTACAGGCAAGGCATTCACGACCGAAGGAACCATTTTCCACCTCAAGTCCTGTATGTACTGTAGGACTGACAGTTCTCCTGTTGGCCAATGGAGGGTAGGATGCACGCAAAACAATCGCTTTTAGAGCAAGGTCCGTTTGTTCCCTCCTCAGCTAGCCAGGAGCGGGAGCCTGACTGTCGCACCTCCAGTGGTTTGGACCTTGGCCCCACGCTCCACTGCCCCAACGCTGTGAGTTGAGCGTGGCCGGTGTGCAAAATCCATAAAATCTCAGGGGTTGGACCCAGATGATTCAGGTTTCCTGCTGAAAGACCATGTGTTGAGAGCATCTCTTGAGATGATCATTGAGGTTCCACCACCGCCTCCTGGATTCATTTCCAGCTCGCCACAGCGTGGGGACCACCAGAGTCCAAAGTGACCGGTCCGGACTTCCGTCGATCTCAGTAGCTTTCACATGGACAAAGATCCACTGATCGGATCTGATTGGTCAGTGACCCTGGGACCTCTGGCCAACCTCGAGGCCCAGGCCTCGGATCTCGTTACTTGCAGTGTGGTTTCCACAGTTTCCACCTAGACGAACATGAGACCTTGAACAGGCCCTCCAAGAAGGAAGAAGGAACAGACGGGGAAGACGGCTTTGAAGATGCATTTTGTATCATTTTGTTGCATCTCGGTCGACCAAAGCATGCTTGCCGCCAGCTGGCGGCATCATTTATGGTGCTTGAGACCGCAATGGAACTGAAGACCAACACCACCAAAGGCCAGTTCAAAGGCCCTTTTCTTGGCTATTTTTGGCCCCCGCCCCCAAAGGAACCAGGAACGTGGCGGTCTTTCCTTTGGAGCCTCCGTGGCCTCAGGATCCTTTAAGGGCGTACCCTCAAGCCCTGGTGGGGAGCCTCAGGATGTCTCAGGCTGCGAATCTCAGTGCCGAAGCTCCACCGGTCCACTGGGGTTGGGCTCACCCACGGGACCCTGTTCACCTCCCCCTGGGCGAACATCTGGGGGTGAACAGCCTCCTAAACCCACGCGTGAGCCGTAAAAATGGAGTGGCCTGCACCAGTTGATGATTTCAATGCTGGAGATGTTATGCGTTCGCCATGGTCGTTGAAAGAGATGGCGCACACTGCGCACACTCAGACTCAGTCAAAACGGGGTCTCATAGTGGTGTATAGTGTATACACTTGTTTGTTCCTTGATTGTCGCATGCTGACAGCTTAGATGCGTTTGCTCCTCTGTCAGGTTGCCTTTTGTCAATACATGTCACATGTCAAGCTGAGGCAAGTCAAGGCCACTGCGCGAGTGTGCGGCCCTCGATTTGCTGATATTTGCTGTGAATGGTTGATGCTTACACAAGTGAGATATAGTGAGATGATGTAAACTCATGCATACAAACTCCCTGATTGCGTAACGAAATCTTGTGTATAAGGCAGCACCATGACACCTCTCCCACCAGCGCTTAAGTAGTGTTGTTTTGACATATGTTGTCTCATGTCCTGAGTGAATGTGATCTGTCACATAATCTGAATCGGGCTAGGCACAGCCCCCATCTCTCCGTCTGGGGCTGAGACCAGTGGCGAGTGGCCTGGGCCATGGGCTGCTGTCATGTGTTGCCGACTTTGAGCGACACAGAATTCGCGCGCCCTTCCCCCACGCTTGGTTGGTCCCCAAGATTTCTGGCACGTGCCGCCGGTAGCGAAGTGGGAACCACCAGTTCCAAACATTGCCCTCTCAGGGCCCCTGAACGAGGGGGTCCCAAAGGAATTATCCCAACGGGA